ATATTACTGCTGTTTTTTTCCGGCTGTGCTTTGCTGTCTTTAATTTTCTTTCCTAAGACTGTTCTAAAACACTTAAATATCCTATATTGTCTATGCTGACTCTTTAGCAGGGAAGGAGCAATGGGCCCATGCCTTGGGGCTTTGAATGTCACCCAGATTAAAGTTGGAGGGCAGTTTTGAAAATCCTCTCTTGGACTGTGGTACTCTGAGTTGTTTGGTGTCCACTGGAGAAAACACATTTTTGTATCAAAACTGTGCTCTTTCTCATCAAGAGATCAAAATGAGATCAAAATCTTCTGCTGTCTTATGTCTGTTGGTATTGCTCTTCTGTGGGGTGCTGAGTTGGGGTTTTGTGGGGGGCTGTTTATTTCTAGATCAGAAAGTGGCTGGTGGTTCTGAATTAGAGATTTTTTAAATCAGGCTTCCAGAGATAAAGAGCTATCTTCTTGTCTTTTTACATGCCACAAAGCTGTTCAAAGGAAAACTGAAAGTTGTTCTCTGCAAAATACCAATTTCCTTTTGCTTTAGTTAGTAACATTCAGAATTACTGAAACTGGGTTTAAATATTTATTTTCTTCTGTGGTTTTTTTTTTTTAATTTTTTTTAAATTTTTTTGTGCGTGTATTTTGTTTTTTGTTTATTTTTGCTTTTTTTGAGTTCTATTTGTTGCTTCCCAGTTCTGGGGTAAGGGGCAGACACAGCCTATCCTCCCAGCTCTGACTCTGTCCCTTAAACCAAAGAAAAATTTGTCCAATACAGTGTCTCTGTTGTGATAAAAATGCAACAATAGTCTATGCAGGCATACTTTCAGAGATTGGAGCAAATAGAAGAAATATTTTTACTTGTTTGTGGACTACAAGAGAAAAAACTAGCAGCTGACTGTGAGATTTGTAACTCGTGCAGGTTCCCTGTGCTGGGGACGTGCTCTGGGACACCCTTTGCTCTTGGATTTATTTAGTTGAGAGGAGCCCATGGATGGGATTCAGATTTTGTGACCCTCATCCAAGGAATAAACCTTTGTCTTAAGTAGGATTGTAGCACTCTTGTTTGAAAAGAATTGTGTGAAGCCAGCACAGGTGACTTTTCTTCCTAAAGCCATATAAATCTCAATGAGACTCCTTTGTCACACCCAGTGGGCTCAGGGAGGGAATCATGAAGGAACTGAACTCAAAATAGAAATAAAAATGGGGGAAAAAAATTGAGTAAAACACTTTTCTGTGCCTCAGTCACAGCAGTTCAAAATTGAGTTAAGCTTTAAAATTTTTTGTATTTGTTCTGAAAGATAATTCTGAGAAGTTGTGTACCAGCATCGACTACTGTGCTAAACTCAGCCTGCAATATACTGAAAAATATATTGATAATGGTACAGTCTTAAATGTCCTAACATTATTCTCCTATTGCGCTGGCTTTAAACACTTACAGTTTTCAAGGGAACAGCAACTTAATTCTTAATTAAAATCACCAAGCAAGTGCAGATTATATTTAATTTAAATATTTATTGACTTTGTTTAAATTTTCAAAATAGATTAGACTTTGAACAGCAAAACTGCTAATATCTGAATGATAATTTTACTTCTGAGCCAAATCAAGAAGCTACTCAGGAATACAGCTAAGAAGTTGCTATGATTGAGGAAATACTTTAATAAAGTATGTACAGAGGGCCTTTAGAAATCAGTGGTCTCCAGGAAAGAAAAATCTAGTTGCATCTGGTAGTATTTTAAAATCTTGCGTTTTCTCTTAGATTTCTGAGAGTTGCAGTTCTTCCTGTTGCCCCAAGTACAACTGCAAAAAATATACAGAGAACCAAAGATATGCCATATAAAAATACCAATATATCATAAAAAAATACCATATGAAAAATACCAGATAAAGACATACCAGCCTGCTAATCCCCTTGTTTTTTATAATGCTAGACATATTAAATTGAAGCCCATAATTATCCCAGTTGATTTAACTAGTCAACACATATAAAGTTAAGCATGTATGTAAATGTTTTCAGAGTAGAAATATAAACCTTGCACAAAGAAAATTTTCACAGTTTTAAGGGTATCCCTGGCTATAAATAAGTTATTTGCATTAAAATGTTCCCTCCAGCAGTATTTGGTGACCCAGAACATCCTTTGGCCCAGCATTTTCTCCAGTATGGCTCAGCCCCACTACCAAACCACCAAGGCTTTTTCAAGGAACAGTTCAAACTCTTGGCTTCTCACTCTTGTTCTCCTCTAGGCCAGTTTTATTCCCTGCTATACCCTTTCATTTTGAGAAAACGAAATGAAAAATCTCTATTGCATTTATCTGTCACATGCCTAAAGGCCGTCAGATCCTGCAAGCTTTAGGATGACTTAATATAACTTCTAGGTTTAATTTTGCAAATATGCTCCTGTTGCCTAAATAACATGGTATCTTCTACTAAATCTTTCAGGAGTGAGTTTGTACCTTCTGGAAGTCTGTTTGGTAGTGTCTCACATTTTTCAGTGTGGCAAAAAATGCTCCTGAGATTGACAGGCTCTTTGTGCATTTCATACGGATGTTTCAGCTAGCCTTACTTCCCCTGGTTTGTTTTCTGTATTGTCAAGCCTGTAAGAGCTGCAAGAGCTTTTCTGCTTTCTCTTTATACTGCTATGAAACATTATGTGAATTGCTTTAGTTTGTGTTTCCTGTCTAATTGTACACTGCTGTTTAGGTTGGAATAGAGCATGTGTTTAATAATTTCTTGGCCTCATTACATTACATTCCCTGCTTCATGCATCGCCTGTCCTGTTAGTCCATAAATCTGATCTATTCTAATCACTGTAAATTCTCTCTTTCCCCTAGCTGTGTCACCAGCAACACTAGTCACTTTGGAAATTGCTTTCCTGAGAGGTCATTTTACAAAAGATAAAGGAGGAGGCATTGTGCAGTGCATAAGGCTGGGGGTTTCTCACTCCTTCAAGCCTCAGAGCAGCTGCTGCAGTCTGTCCTCTGCTCATAGGCTCCTCTCAGCAGCTGTCACATGCTGGGAGGGTCACCCAGATGAGTGCCTTGGGCCTCAGCCTGCAGCATGGCAAAGTCTTCACTGGGGTTTGTCCTCTGTATGCAGTATAAATTACATCACACTGGGTGGCCTGGTAAAGGAGTTACCAGTCCAGAGTCACTTCTGTTGTAAAAGGGACTTTTTAAAGACAGAAATTTTGTGGTACTTGAAAACAGACAGTGATGCAGAGCCACAAACCTGCGTTGGATGGCCCGTCACAGGATCCCCTTATACAGGAACACATTGTGCAAATCTTCTGTGCCTCCTGCTTGCCTTCCTCTCCCTTTGAAGAGCAGTGACAGGCTGAAATTTGGTCTGTTGATATGGCAGTAGGTCTGTGGGTGAGCTGAGATGGGTTACAACAGTAATTTTCCTGTTTTCCATGCCTACAGATGTCAGTGCCTCCCCTGAGTTCTTGTTCCTCTGCTGGCCCTGCTTTGGGGCAGGTTTGGTTGGGCAGACACTGTGCTGCAGCCAACACACATCTGCTCAAGGCCTTCCTTGTTCTGCTGCTGCTTTTCCTGCTCCTTCCCCCTCTCATTTAGCACTTCTGTGCTGTGCTATACATCACAGGACACTCCTGGGAAGAGATTTGGACTTTCTTGGATTCCTGCACAGCCTCTGCATGGAGGCTTCCCTGGTGCTGCTCCGGGCTCTGGGGTCTGTGTGAGGGTGGAGGGTGCACTGGGGAGTTTTGCCATTTTGTTTTCTTGCAGTAGAGATGTTTTGGAGCAAGAGCTGTTCAGCTCCTCAGAGTGTCAGGCATTTCCCTGTCCTGGGCTCCCATGCTGGATGACTCCCCTTGCTAGTGATCTTCCATGATATAAGTAGTGGTTCATGGCCACAATTTACTCATGCAGAAGGATGCCATCCACTGTCTTGGATAAATGAGTTTGAGACTCATGAATGAGAAGAACATGATGAAATTTAAATACTAGTATTTATTTTTCCTGAATCCCTCCACCTTGTTTTTTATCTCCTTCTGATATTTCACTAATCAGGGAGAATAAGTGGGGATGGGAACATGCCAATTTTTGGTTGGATTATTGAAGGGCAGTTTCCACAGTCATGTGACACTACTACAGCAAAATTTAATTAGAATGTTTCATAGAGGTTTGAATTGATTAATGTATTTATTTGATTTTATGAGGTTTAGTAGCTTTTTAAATGACCTTTAGAATGCTTCTCATTTTTAAATGACTCATATTACTTGCCTTTTTAGCCCAGGGGTGTTGCAACATCATGTGTTATGCTATACTGGCTTTTTTCAGTCCACTGGTGACTGCTGAAGGTATAAATTCTCCCTGTTGCACAGAAATATGCCAATGTATTCCCTTCTGCTAATTTTTCAGATGTGCTACTTTAATTAACAAAGCTAATGCTTAGGGATCTGATTGCTGAAAAGCTCTGGTGACAGATTAAACCTTCCTATACGGAGCTGGTTTGTTGTGTTTGCTGAGGAACCATTCAAAGCAGTGCAAGTTTGCATCAGTGGAAGCTAGAGAGGAAATCTGGTGATAAATCAGACTAAATAAGTGGAGTGGAGTGGTATGAGCTCTCCTGCTTTTGTTCACGTGATGAAAGCTGCTTGCACTTGAAGATGCTAATTATGGGCAATTTTTCCTTGGTGTTGTGAGGTTTGAATTGCTCTGAACTATGTTTAATGATAAAATACTAAAACCAGAACAAATTCTGAGTAAGCCACAGCTGACCAAGGTGTCCAATTAATAGGATTTTGTCTAATGGACTAATTTAATTGAGTCGTTTGAAACATACTCTAGAAAAGCCACAGACATTTACATTTCAAGGATAAACATTGTTTTTCATTCACCTCTCTCTCTCTCCATCTCTCTTCCCCAGAGGTCTCCCTGGCATGTTTGAGTCTCCTCCCCAGCGAGCAGTTCAGCCCAGTGCCATCCACAGGTTCGGAGCGCTTTGAGAAGAGCCCACTGAATTCCTGCTAGGGGGGCCCTGAGCCGCAGCCACAGCAAACCTGCCCAGCTCATCACAGCACACACGCCTCAGATCTCCCTGGAGCAGCTGCCAGAGGGGCTGAACTTCCCTGTTTCCTGCTGTGCTGCCCAGATCCTGCTCCATGACGGCAGAGGCTGGTGGAAACCCACATCTCTGTGGTTCTGCGTGAGATCCTCATCCCGCTCGCCCACGGCCTCTCCCTGCGCCAGCCCCTGCCTGCAGCGCTGCATCACCACCCACCAGATGTGCAAGTGGTTGCAAAGAGCTCCCCTCCCTGAGCACAGGTGCTCTCTGTCAAGAAAAAAGTAAGTGTTGCTCAGCAAGTGCTGGGTAAATGGATAACTGCATGCTCAAATAAAGAAGCTGCAGCTCCTTGGGGGCAGGCAAGGGGGACAGGGCACTCCAGAGCTCTGGCAGTGGCTGGGTTGGGAAAGGGCCAGTTCCAGCACACTGCTCTTAATTTGCCTGGCAAGGCAGCTCTCCCAGATGAAGTGAGATGTGGTGAAGCCAAAATTCTCTTCAGGAAGCTTTATTTGGTTTAAAATGTTTTATCAAAATCTGCTTCTGACTTCTTCTAACTTTTAACTAGCCTCAATTCACCTCTGTCTTTATTTTAAATTCAGTGGTATTTTACACAAAGTGTTCTCATCAGCCAGGCCACTGCTGGGTTTGTACAGAATACTTTAGTGTTCATCTGTCTCATTTCTTTACTGTCCAGGATAAAGCTCTGAACCAAGTGGCCTCAGGCTATCCATCTGGAAAACAGAGCCACTTAGACCTTTGTAAAGAAAATTATTCAGTAATCAGTGCAAGAGCGCAGCCTCTAAGCCAACCCAATATGGAAAAATTGCCAGTGTAGTAACTACAGACATTTTATGACAATAATCCTGATTATGTCCTTCCATTATTGCCAGAATTTCTTCTTGTCTGCATCTTCAGGACTGAGTTTGTTTTGCACTAACTTCAATGATCCTGTGCATCAGAAATGCTCTGTAATTTGAGACTGATGATGCAGAGCTGGACATTGAGCTGCTGACCAATACAGATGAAACCATTGGGAACTACGGAAGACAGTGCTGCCTTCCCAGCTCTGTCCATCCTCCCTCAGGAGCAGGGAAGGACCCTGGTCTCTGCTCTCTTGTACAGAGGGGAAGAAGGGGCCAGTTAAGGATGTGTTTGCCTGCATCCCCTGCCTGCCCATCTACAGCACACCCCAGGCTTCAGGTGTCTCTGGGAGCTCACCAGTGCCAGTGGGATGGTGCTGGTCTCCTACCCTGCCCTCCAGGTGTGCCAATTCGGGGCATTCTCACCCAAACACAGTACATTATCACTCTCTTGTACACTATGTTCTGCTAATTAGATATGTGTGGTAAGTCTTGGAACTTTTATCTCAGAGTTCAGGCCATTACCTTAGAATTTTTCCTTATTCTCTTTGCAAATGAGAAGATACTCATGGTCCTGAACACATTTAGTAGTGTTGTTTCTGCACCTTTCAACCAGGAAGGATGTCCTCCAGTGCTGGGATCAGCCAAACAAAAAGATACTGCTTTCCATTTTGGAAAATCTTTCTGGCAAACTTAAAGTTTGGGGTGAAATACAGCATCAAATAAAGTGGAGATGGGTCTGTAGATGTAATGTTAATGAAAGGTTTTGGCTGTATGGTTTTTAGTTTTGCTTTTGTTTTGATTGACCATGGTTTATAATATTTTGAAAGCGTAAGGATTAGGGTAAAAGATCAGGTTCCTATACCTGTGCTAGTGAGAAACTCTCTGCTCCCTATCAACAGTTACATGTCATTTAGGGAAAATTTCTGCAGAGGTTTTCTGTCCTGATTTTTTTGCTGTGGGCTGATACATGGAAAAGATGAGGGGCAAAACTTCCCACCAAGTGGGAGCAGAAGGACAGGTAACATGGGCTCTTCCATTTCAAACCCAGGGAATCTCCAGGCACCACTTCCTCCAGCAGTTCACAGCAAGGCAGTCCAGACTCAGCACACAGATCAAATCTACTGCTTTGCCATCTTGGTTTCATGTGGTAAAGGTTACTGCCGAGTTCAATTAAATATATGGAAAAATAAAATGAGGAGCAGAAGTGATGTGCCTTGAGGCACAGAAGCCTTTTTGGTGCTTTTCACAGGCTCAATTACATTGCTGGCAACTATTTTCACCATTGTTTTTGAGCAATGTTAGTGAGGAGGAAGCAGAAAGAAAATAATTCTAAATTGATGTGCCCTAAAGGCTCATATCAAAGATTTTCACTAGCTTCATAAAAGCTCTGTACACTTAAACTAAAAAAATATAGCAAAATGTTTTATTTCCTCCATATGGTCTTGTGTTTCATCGTCTTGATTGTTGTACAATCCTTGTCCCTTGAAATTCAGAAAAGCGTTTTGAAGTTTACATGCTATAAAGTCAGTAGTTATGGATCTTGAAGCATGTTTTGAGCAGCACTTCAGCAGAAGGACAAGATCTGCACACAAGGTCAGGACTCCAGGGATGTCTCTCTGGTGATTGGAGACTTGTGAATGCTCAGACTGCTGCAGCACATCCTCCTCTGATGAGTGGGAATGATTTTTTGTGATTTGACCATAAATTAATGATAAAATAACTTTCTGGTGGGGAGACAGAAAAGCTTTAACATCACCAACCCATTACTGCTTATGGATTTTAACAGTGAAGCATTGTACTTTTGGAGAGGGTAACTATTTCCACAAAAAAATCCATGGTTGCTGTCCAGCAGTAAAAACACTGTGAAGAACCACACAAGCTGTTTCTGGGGGAAGCACTTCTCAGTGACAGCTGCAGAAGAATTGTTTTGTGCTTTTCTCAGGAGACAAAACACCCGTGTGCTTCACGTGATCATCTACAGGATTCACTGCCTGCCCTGCTGATCACCTGGTGGGTGGAGGTGGGGATGTCCTGCTGTCAGTGTTCAGAGACCAAGAGGAGGGGAAGCCAGCTCCAGCTGGATTTTATACAGAGCTATCTGTTTCCAAAAGTGCCAGCAGATTTAAATTACTGCTGCGGTTGTCAACAAGTTCCCCCTGCATATTCTGTAATGATTAAGGTCCTTGGAGGTTTTGGATTGCTTATGTTTCTCAGTGTAGCTGCAGATTGTGAACATAAGGGTTGCATCAAGTAATTTAAATAATTAATTGGAAGGCAGAGGTTCCTTTCCTTCTGTGCACTTTGGGTGGGAACATTCCTGCTGACTGCACATTTGAATCACAGAATATAACAAGCTGGAAGGGACCCTCAAGGATCATTGAGTCCAGCCCTTCAGTGAACAGCCATACAGGGATCAAACCCTGACCATGGTGTTATTAGCACCAGGCTCTGACCAAGTGAGCTGTGCTCCTGTCCTCTTGCTGCTGAAAAGGACAACTGGCCAGGTAGCTGGATGTTAACTCAAAACTTGTCAGGTTTTGCGCTTGACGCACAGTTGCTCTCAGAAACAGCTGGTGCCTTGCTGCTATCAGCGCCAGAGTGTTTTGTTTGATGACTTAATCAAGATGTTATGCTATTAGGAACCATTTGTGGATTCGAATACAAATGTAGGATGATAATTTTTGTCATTTAAAATAAAAAGGTAATTTCCTCAAATTCCAAACAGCCCCATGTCCCGTTCCTGGTTTGCTCTGAAGCCAAGTCTAAGCAGGTTGTGTGCCTTGTCTGAGCAATGCTGGGCAGTGACTTTGCTGTTATTTGACCAAGTCATTCAGAGCATCAGGAAGGTTCAGATTGAATACCCAGGGTTTACAGAGCTTTATTTCTGAAAAAGAGAGAAAAGTGTGAGTTCTTCTGCTCCATTACAAAGATGGTTGCTTTTTATGCTCAGCAGAGATGTGCTTGTCTTTTTGTTTCCCCTCTGGAATTAATTGAAGCTCTTTAATGCTGATTAAATTAAAAGTTTCTTCCATGTATATTTTTATGATACTGCAAGAAGCGTTGTCTGGTACATTCCAAAAGAGACTTTTCATCCAAATTTATCTTCTCCTGTTCTTGATTCTAACTGGTATTAGACATTTCAATAGATCCAGTATATTCAGGTTTTTTGGGCAATATAAAAAGGTACTTTAACATTTTGTACCTTTGATTTGGAAGTGGATGTAGGTTAGGTTACATCTTACATTTTCTTTTGAAAGGGATTGCAATTTTTTTGTTTTGCAAAAATTCATTTGCAACAAAGTGAAGGTCAGCTTTTCATGTGACATGACCTTTTATTATTTGGGTTTCCTTCTAACCTTGTTCTCTGTGGTTTTATATGGCTGCAATTTCATTGTGCTTAGAGCGCATGGGACCAAACCCAGGACTACTGTGCTTATTCTGAAGACCCCAAGCTTGCTTTGTATGTCTCAAGAGAGTTGCCAGTTGGTTTTGAATCCTGCATGTACAGTTTAAGTATTAATTTAGCTGCTAGACTAAAGCTGCTAGATTAAAGCTTCAGCATTAATCAGGAGTTAATCAGTAATCTTGTCTTTCACAACCTTTTCTAAGTTTACAGAATTGTAGAGCTTTCTCTGGCAAAGAAATTTCTTGATCTTGTTAACAAGGAAAACAAGAAGCTAAAAGCTGACATAAACACAGTGTTGTTGTTTGATTTTAATTTTGATTTCTAGGGTTTGATTTCTAGGCATGCTTACTCAGTTTGCAGGCAAGGACTTGAAATGTGTTTCATCCACAACACCATTTGCCCCAGCCTCTGCTGGGGAGACTAGATGTTCTCAGACAGTCATTCCATACTCCTTTCTTTTCTCCCTAGTATCTTCCTGACTAGGTGTGCCCAATTGCCTCTTAATTGGCTTCTTCCTTTTAAGTGACCATCTCTCCTTCTGAATGGCAGTCAGTGCTGACCTGCTTTCTCTGCTGGAGATGCATATTATTGTAGCTTGTTTGAGACAAGTTGTTAAAAAAAATAAAAAAAAAAATTCTAATTTATCTGGCTTGTGGGTAAGCAGGAACTTAAATGCTGCAATTAGCTTCACAACTCTCTTCAGTGAGCAGGAGGGGGCACCTACCTCTTTTCTTAAGCTTAGCACCTCTAATGTATCCCATATGGACAGGGATGTAAGTATTTTTTTTAATGTCTGCTTTTCTGTGCTGGTTTTAACACTTCATGGGCCGGTAAATCAGTAACTTTAAGTGCAGTGTGTGATTATCACCTGTGATCATGCAGTAGAGGTCACCTAGGGCTGTGTTTTAAGCTGAAGCCAGGGTATGCTCGCTGTACCTTGAGAGATGTTTCTTTCAGCTCACTGCTCAACAGACCTTTCCAGAGGCTTTTCCTGGTTTATTCTTAGCTTCTC